AATTGTACAGTCCTTGTTCTCCTCCTCTGCCACGCCGGCGTACAGCTTGCGTGAAAGGCATTGCTACATTTGATATGTAGACATGTCATACTACATTCCAAATATAAAAATAAGTATATCTTCTAAGACATCAGATGATATGAAATAGTTACATAGTTCTCCGTACCTCATGCTAGGTGGTCTGAAAGGCTGTAACATAGGGTATAATATACAAGTGTTCGCTTATATTCTTCATTACACAGTTTACACTTAGTTTATTTGACAAAATGTTCAATCTATATCCAAGCCTGATTCTTGCGGTCATAACATCACACTGTCTTGTTCTTATATATAAACTTTTATATAAACCATAGATGAATGAATCTTGCCTAAACCGATCATAGTGCTTTATGCTACAGTTTTCAGGGCGTTGTGGATTAATCAACTCTGCCAATTCCTCTTTGAAGGAAGCTTTAAAGGAATAGCCTAGAACTGGTGCACTATTTTGCATCCACAGTTGGCCTAGGTTAATATTTATCCATTAATAAAATCAAATTGAAAATTTAGACCCGGATGATAAAAATAAACATGATTTTGTAAGCCCACAAAATTCGTCTGCCTCAAAAACGACCAGTGGCGCCAACACGTCGCGTGACGTCATACCTTGTATAACCATTGTCCAACAACATGGCGAGCAACAAGATTACAGCAGTTCCAGTGAAGCTGAAAGTGAAAGGTCTGTTGATTCTGTGTCTACAGAATCAATAGATCTTACTGGTGATGAACTAGAAGATAGGGAGCTTGAAGTAGGAGGAGAATTGGTGAAAGGATACCAATTTGAGCCATGTTATAGGCCTAATCTGACGACTCGTCTTCCTCCTTCATTAACCCATTCACGATGTTTAATTGTTTTCACACATAGATGGCTCCACTTGTATTTGTACTGCTTGTCTCGCCTGTTTACCCTTTTCTTTAATTTACGAAATTATTTTGCGTTATCTTATTTTGCTGTTACTAATGTTTATACCGTTATAGTAATTATAATGTTTATAATATAAATAACCATCGATATTCATAGCACTAGTAAAAATACATTTTCCCGCCAATTCAAGTAAATGTGAAATCAGGTAAGGCAGAGCCATCTAGTGTAGAGAAATTTCATAAAAAAATATAAAAAATGAGCACAGCATTTTCCCCATTTTTTGTTCATTTTTACCCGGCGCGAATGAGTTAACTTTATGCGCATCCAAATCTCGAGTGCCTCTATCTTTCCTCCGTCGTTTGGTAGTTCCCTGCAGCCTAAAATTGTCACCAGACATTGAAATTTGTCACAATAAATGCACAATAATGACTGATCTCCTGACCCATATACAAGGTACTACGCACACCCGTATGGAGGCGCCACCGGCAACATTTTGTAGCAGACGGATTTCAGGAGCAAAAAAGCTAGATAAAAAGGGCTATAAAGTCTAGTGTTGTGAATGAATTTACAAAATGATGCTTTGGGATGTTTATTTAGATTATTTATTTTGCAAATAAAGTAAAAAAAAAAAACATTCTACTACCCTCTGGACTATTCCTTTAATGATGTATAAAATCCTAGAAGATCTATATCCACACTTTGCTTGTTACATGCTGAATTTGCTAGACGATCAGTATGATCATGCCTTGGGATTCCAACATGCGATGGAATCCACACAAAACGTATATCGTGGCCTCGTTCTTTTGCACGATACACGTTTATCCTGATGCCATTTGCAATATTTCCTGAACCTTTTTCTAGAGTGTTCCGTGCCTGGAGAGCACTCTGTGAATCGCAAAAAATTACCCTTGAGCGGTGGCCATGAGTTTTCCTGCCAACTCTATTAGCGTAGCGCTAGCCTAGTCATGAACCCTCCTACAATCCTGGTGCTGCAAATTATTGTTTTTAAATACAACAAAAGCGCATCCTGCTCGGTTTCCAGACTGCAAGGATCCGTCAGTGTAGTATTCATATACATTGGACAGAATTTCTAGATGCTCATTTATAATTGCAAGGGCATATTGCTTAAGTATAGCAGGGGGGCACTGTCTTACTAGTACCCATGGATTTGAGTATGAATCGGATTTGTCATTCAAAGTTAGCTCCTCTATTATGTGTTTTCGTTGTCTTTGGGACTCTGTACAATGAAGGGGTTCACTAATTTATTTGACGTTAAATGTGGTATTTATGTATAATATTTCATAAATAGAAGGTAGATTAAGTTCTGTTCTCATATTTACAATCCTTGTGTCCTGGAAGCACCAAGAATGATCATCATGACTTTAGTTTGTACATTTTCTAAACTAGTCAACTCTGATTCCTTGAAAAATACTAAGTGCAATGATAATTTATGACTGGTCGTATGTATGACAAGTAAAAGAGTCTCGCAATATTAGCATTTTTAACATGACCATTGCTAACAAGTGTTCTAAGTGGCTTCAGCCGCTCCCACAGCCTTTTCTTTAGGTTTGTGAGGAACTCTACGTCATTGACAATCACCCCGAGGTATCTGTACTGGTGGCATAGATCTAGCTCAATGTCATCTGTATGAAACCTTGGCAGGGGGATTTTCTTTGGGTTAAGTGCCTTGTTTTTTCAGTCGGGATTATCAAGCCACACTCAGTAGCCCTTGCTGAAAGTATATCTAGAATCTCTTGCATTCCTCCTCGGATAAGGATTTAAGGCAAATATCATCGGCATAATTTAATGGAGGCATTGCCCTTAAGTGGTATATCGCCCAGTAATCTATGCATTAGGATATTTAATAGCATGTGTGTGAACACACACACATATACATATGTATGTATACATATAATTCTATACATATATATGTATATATATAATTCTATACATATATATGTATATAAATATAATTATATACATATATATGTATATAAATATAATTGTATACATATATGTATATATATATATATATATATATATATAATTATATACATATATATGTATATACATATATAATTATATACATATATATGTATATTTATGTATATACATAATTACATATATATATGTTTATATATATATATATATATATATATATATATATATATATATATATATATTCAGATATGCACATGTATGTATACACACACACACACACACACCACACACACACACACACACACATATATATATATATATATATATATATATACATATTGATGCATACACACCAACTCACACAGACACACACACACACACACATATATATATATATATATATATATATATATATATATATATATATATACATATACATATTGATGCATACACACCAACTCACACAGACATATATATATATATATATATATATATATATGTATATGTATATGTATATATATATATATATATATATATATATATATATATAAATATATATATATATATATATAACATCCCTCCCTGACCAAGACTCGAACCTAGGTCACTCCCGAGTATGAACCGAAATACCAGTACTAAACCAACCATATCGCACGACCCACTAAAAGGAGTGTGCAACTACGATCTAACTAGTTCCATAAACATTACCCATCTACTCATATATGATAGTGAGGTTTTTCACACTCCCTGTGGGCACTCGTTGGAAATTGATTTAGAAATTCGAAACCAGATGTACTGAGGTGTATATATATGCCGCAATGGTATAGACACATAAACCTTCCTGAGTACTGGCTCTCCGGTTTATACCCGGAGTGACCTAGGTTCGAGTCCTGGTCAGACAGATCTAGAGATGGGCCGTGGACCTGCCTGGGGGCTCGCCATGAGGGACTCCCTTGGCAGGAAGCGAAGGGTGGAAGCGGCCATGCGTCCCCGTCGGCGTTAGCCCCCCGATGATGATGATGTGTATATGTATACTTATATATATATATATATATATATATATATATATATATGTATACATATAGATATGACATCTTATCTTGTTTTATTGAATTGTGTGTGTGTAAGTGTGTACGTACGAGCACTTATCTTATCTTTCCTAAATCACGAAGTGTCTTCACCTTACCAACCCAACTACTTCGACGTCCACAGGAGGTTCTCCATCGGATGAAGAGGCGCCTAGAATTACCCCTGCCTGGCAGCGACGACAACAGCACCGTGGTTATCGAAGAAACGACAGAGGCCTGTACTTGGTGCGACAACGATGACTTGGAGGTCGACGACGAGCACAGAGCAACGACTGTACAGAGGTGTATGTGTGATGAATCGTTTGTGAGAGGGAGAAGGGCTGGTGGTGATGGTGAGGAAGTGGTGGAGGAGGAGGAGGAAGTGGAGCAGGAGGAGGAGGAGGAGGGGAAGGATAAGGATAATGATATCTAGGATAATAAAGAGGGTGCGATGTTGAATGATGATAATGTTGATGATAATAATTGTGATGGTGATGAAGATGATGACGTATCGAGGATGAGTAAGATAATGATATTAATGGTGATGACAAGAATGGGACTTGGTGAATGGCTTCAGACAAGTATTTCTATTAGATTGGAAATGAGTGAGAATGAAACATTAGTGAAAGTTAATCCTGTATGGCATATGAATAAAAATATTCGAATATATATAACAGTGTATTTAAGAATACAGATAAGTGAACACCCAAGAAAAAAGTTAAACAAAATATTATGTTAAATTTCTATTTACATGCTTATTTCTTACAGTCAACAAGTACGTAGCACCTGGAACCTGTGTCGTAAACAAATCGCCAAGATACCCAGCGAAATACCCTAATAATAGGGACATACGCTGGAAGTATACGGTAAATAATACAAATGAAAATAACTTCTCGTTTGTCGATGTTCGGATAAATTTAGTTAAGTACTTAGTGATCTAGTTTTATGTGTAATATGCTTGGGACTTTTTCTTTGATCAGCTCTCATTTCTTTCAAGGCGTTTTATACTTCGATTGATGCTATATATAATAAACAATATCTATTTGACTTCTTTATTCGATGATTACTCTAGGGAATTTAGTACGAGTTCGAATACTTATAACACTCTACTGACCACCTAACAGGGGGTTTCGGGAAGTATATTGACGTTTAAGGTCATTAAAGGCGGAGTCCAGAAACACTACAAATGTCAGAAGGATTATGTTGAGATCTTCACGAACGGCAAAAGGTCAAGGTAAGATTGGTGACGTTTTTATTATTACTTTTATTAATATTTATTATCGTTGTTGTTATTCTTCTTATCACCATGTATTATTATTATTATTACTGTTATTCTTATCATCGATATTATTGGAAATGACACCTAACACCGTAACTGAAGATTCTGATCTGCAATAACCACTGTAATAATTCGGAAGCTATAATACTGTACAGTTTTCGGGTTCTATGAATAACTATTGTATGTATTAGTAGCAGCTTTTATATACGCCATGAAGAGACCCTAAGCACGTTTTATAGGTTCGCATAGCAACTGTACGATAAGGACCTGCAACTCTGCGACTACGAATCTGCGTGCAACAAGACATCCCTCGCTGCGAATTTTATCGTTGACAGACACCCCCCCCCTCTCTCTCTCTCATTTAATCTTTTTAACGCAATGTAAGAGAATCTCAAGATTTTTTTTTTTTTTTAATTCTAAAGTTTCGTAAGATATGTTTTATTTCGTGGACACTTTAGTGTACATTATGCTAGTATCACTTCAATAAAAACAAAAATAAAAAAATGGAATTAATGAAATTACAGGATTTGCTAGAGTTACTGTAGTCACTGTAGTCATGTGTGGGCAATGGGCCATGGGCAAAGATCGTGTATGAAAAATGGGTAAAGAACAGAAAAAAATTGGGAACCACTGCGTTAGACACTAGCGATCAGTCTATTGCAGCCAATAAGATCTGTAATAAATAATCACGTGGCAATAACAGCTGGATCCAAGGGAAATCAGTTGAAATTCAAATCAATTCTGCCATAGCTCGGCTGTATATAAGGTGCTTGGAAAAAAAAAAACTGTTTCGCCTTTCATATATAAACTATAATGACAATATGACGGCAGTTTGACGACTCGTAAACTGGCTATTTTGGATTTATTGACCAAGGAAATATTTGGCCGGGCTCAATCTTGCCAGGACATAGGAGGTGAAGGTTTTGTAGACCAGGCGGGGGTTGGGGGGGGGGGGCAGCCCTCTCTGAATGAAGGCTTATAGGGCGAAGATCCCTGATTATTATAAAAGATAATTATTGCAAATTTTACTTCGATTGTTCGTTTTGATACTCTCTAGTACTGTTATTATTAGTTTGCAATAGAAAAAAGTCGTAGTGTTACGTTCTATCGCAGAACAAGATCGGAATTTTCAGTATTGGTGGTAAGTGTTATTTCCAATAATAAGGCAGTAATAACAATTTCATTAAATATCTTTAGTACCTTTCCTCCAGACATTGTTCAAATGCTTTTTATATAGAAATCACGATTAACGCACATATAATTCTGTAGTCACATGTAATACATAATATATTTGGATAGTATAAAAAATCACTGCAAACATAATTCTGGAGTTGATACTCGCTACCGTTAATACTGAAATTAACAATCCAGTGGTATTAACATTACTAATTCCCATATCTTGTTAATTATGTTTTTGTCCCCCTGTGATACTCAAAGTGGGTAATGGTGGTTTTTCAGTAAAACTCCTATCGTAAAGATAGTCTTAAACCAATTACAATTGTCTGCAATACATACATACATTTAATGCAGATAAGAGCAGTCGTGATACTTTGTCATATGATAATAACTGTCAAAGTGATCATTTTAACTGTTATGACATGGTTGTTTTATGATTATGCACATGATTAATAAAATGCTATAATCCTGTTCTCCTTTCCTAGTTATCTATTGCTAGTTTCCAAGTAATAAATAACCACATAACACTTTGTAATCCATTATTTTTCGTCCGGACTGAGAAACCATATGCAACAAGATTTTTCTATTAATTATAATCAATATAAGATTACCCTCATGATAGAAGCTTTAGTGATAAATCAACAGACGTCACTTTGAAAACCGCAGGAAGGAAAAATATAAATTACAAGGGGGATATTGGAATGTCTAATTGCAATATTTGCAATATACAAATCAGGGAAGGTGTCTAACCCACACTGACACTCATTGTTATTATTTGAATCATCATCATTATTACTATTATTTAAATTATTATCATTCTATTTCTCATTATAACTTTTATTATTAATATCATCATTATTATTATCTTTATCATTAGTACAATTATTAACACTTATTGTTTTTATTATTATCATTATTATTATTATTATTATTACTATTATTTTTCCTATTACTATTATCATTATTACTATTATTATTATTATCATCATCATCATCATCATCATCATCATCATCATCATCATCATCATCATCATCATCATCATCATCATCATCATCATCATCATCATCATCATCATCGTCGTCGTCATGACTATTATTATTATTATCATTATTATTTTTGTTGCCACTATTATTAC